TGAACGCGCGCGTGTGCTCTTTGTGGTATTTTTTGCAATGGATTATCGCCGTGGACGACAGGACGTCCATGTCGAGAGGAAAAAATAAGAAAAATGTTGATTTTGTATTGTTTTTTTACGGGTTAGGATGGGACCACCCGGATGCGGCCCCTATCGGCCGGCCTGAGGGGGGAGTAGGAGTATATTCTAATAAGGAATAAGGATAAGGACTAAGGATAGGAGTAGTAGTAGTAGGAGTAGTAGTAGGAGTAGGAGGAGGAGGAGTAGGAGTAGGAGTAGGAGTCAAGCTAGCCAGCTCGAGCGAGTCAAGCATGGCATGCCCAGTCCCACCCGCCCTCCCACAACATAAGAAGCAAAGCTGGCACAACTGGGGGCCGAAGTCACACCGGCCAGCCGGTTTGGTACAGCTGATGCGGCCGCGATGGCGGTTGCCGACGGGAACTGGCGAGCGCGTGTTGAATGCCGCGCACGCATTGCCAGACGAGTCGAGAATGGCCCGGTACACCGCAGGAAGCCAGAGGTGGCCGGAGGAAGCCCGACGGTCTGACAGGACACCCCAAAGCATTTTTGTGAAAAAGCATTGGGTTTTTGATGTTTTTATGTTGAAATGCTTGCAAACACACGGTGTTCGGTAGGATTCTGACATGAACGCGCGAGTGTGCTCTTTGTGGTATTTTTTGCACAGGATTCGCGGCCTGGGTGCATGACAGAGCATCGCGAGTGCACCGCGCGATGACGTGAAATCGCTGGATTTGACCGAATTCTTAAGATTCCTATGGTTTTCCTATGATTTCAGCAAGAGAGCCCGGGCGGGAAATTTGTACAATTTTTGTGAAAAAGCATTGGGTTTTTGATGTTTTTATGTTGAAATGCTTGCAAACACACGGTGTTCGGTAGGATTCTGACATGAACGCGCGCGTGTGCTCTTTGTGGTATTTTTTGCAATGGATTATCGCCGTGGACGACAGGACGTCCATGTCGAGAGGAAAAAATAAGAAAAGTGTTGATTTTGTATTGTTTTTTACAGGTTAGGATGGGACCACCCGGATGCGGCCCCTATCGGCCGGCCTGAGGGGGGAGTAGGAGTATATTCTAATAAGGAATAAGGATAGGAGTAGGAGTAGGAGTCAAGCTAGCCAGCTCGAGCGAGTCAAGCATGGCATGCCCAGTCCCACCCGCCCTCCCACAACATAAGAAGCAAAGCTGGCACAACTGGGGGCCGAAGTCACACCGGCCAGCCGGTTTGGTACAGCTGATGCGGCCGCGATGGCGGTTGCCGACGGGAACTGGCGAGCGCGTGTTGAATGCCGCGCACGCATTGCCAGACGAGTCGAGAATGGCCCGGTACACCGCAGGAAGCCAGAAGGCCCCAACTTGTACTGTTTTTCTTTTTATAAAAAGGGGGGGTTTGGATGGGCGGGCGCGGGGTGTGCGCCGCATCCCATTCCTGCCAAGCATTTTGCGACGTGGACGACAGGACGTCCATGCTGAGAGGAAAAACGTTGGTGCGCGGCGCCGAGGCGAGAGCGACATGTCACCCCTTCGCGCGGGGTGTGCGCCGCGTCCCATTCCTGCCACGCATTTTGCGACGTGACGACAGCACGACCATGTTGACAAGAAAAACAAAAACTGTGTATTGTCTTTTGCAGATTAGAATGGGACGGATTGGATGGGCGGGCGCGGGGTGTGCGCCGCGTCCCATTCCTGCTTGCATTTTGCGACGTGGACGACAGGACGTCCATGCGACGGTGCCAATGACGGCGACGACTCTAGAAGGATTTGAGCATGCGCTCGCGGCGACGCGCGCGCATGTCGCCCGCGTGGTATTTTTTGCACAGGATTCGCGGCCTGGGTGCATGACAGAGCATCGCGAGTGCACCGCGCGATGACGTGAAATCGCTGGATTTGACCGAATTCTTAAGATTCCTATGGTTTTCCTATGATTTCAGCAAGAGAGCCCGGGCAGGAAATTTGTACAATTTTTGTGAAAAAACATTGGGTTTTTGATGTTTTTATGTTGAAATGCTTGCAAACACACGGTGTTCGGTAGGATTCTGACATGAACGCGCGCGTGTGCTCTTTGTGGTATTTTTTGCAATGGATTATCGCCGTGGACGACAGAGGACGTCCATGTCGAGAGGAAAAAATAAGAAAAATGTTGATTTTGTATTGTTTTTTTCAGGTTAGGATGGGACCACCCGGGTGCGGCCCCTATCGGCCGGCCTGAGGGGGGAGTCGGAGTATATTCTAATAAGGAATAAGGATAGGAGTAGGAGGAGGAGGGGGAGGAGGAGGAGGAGGAGGAGGAGGAGGAAACGGACGATGTCGATATGGGAGGGAGTTGGGAGGAGGAAAAGTGGGAGGAGGAATGGGAGGACCAAGGTTGGCCAGGGGGAGGAGGAGGCGGAGGAGGAGGAGGAGGGTAAGGGTGTAGGACGAATGGATAGGACCTCGGTCTAGGCTCTATTTGTTGCGGCTCGCGCCGTGGCCGCACTTCTGGAGTGGATCTGAAGCAGGGAGAGGCAACCGGGAACCCGGCGCCCCCGGGAGGGCCGCTGCGCAATGCCCCCTGTGTCGCAGCAGCGCCCGCCTGGCACCGGCCAGAGCGCCGAGCAGTCCGTGGTCCGCCCGCGCCCGCTGGGTGACTGCCTCGGGCCGCTGACTCCGCGCTTCGAGCGGCAGCACTCCCAGAAGCTGCTGAGCTGCGGTGCGGTCGTGACGCTGGCGCCGGCGCCGGGGGTCCAGGACTGCGCGCGGCGTCCGGGGAAACATCCGAGGTCCGCGCGGGTCTCCCGGGTCGGGGCCTGAGGGCCCCCTGGCGCTGCCCCCCTGGCGCGCTCCGCGCGCCACGGGAGGGGGTCCAGCGCCGACGCGGGAAATTTGCGCGGGCTTCTCAAAATCATGCTTGCTTGCCTCTCGTCTGTTAATTTCCGCCGCCGCCCCGCGAAGGAGTCTTGTGGCCCCGCAGCGGTGGGCTTCGGTGCCGCCGCGGGGGTCGCGGAGCAGTGGTGCATGGAGGGCTTCCTGCTGGGCGCCGCCGAGCACGCCTCGCACGTCCTGTCGAAGGTCGTCAGCGTGCAGACCCCAATTAGGGCGTCCCATTTTCTTCGCGCTGTGTTTGCGTTCAGTTTCAGGCCTTAGGGTCGGCCCTCGCGGATCGATCTGGCTCGGGGCACGCCGCAAAAACGACGGCGTCGAGGGTTGTGGTCGGGTGCCGCCGGGGGCGGGGGGCGGCCCATGCAAAAGGCGGGGGTGCCTTCGAGAAACGATCCCCGCCCTCGGAAGAAGCATATAGAAGCATTCCCAGTACCCTCCGAACCCTTCCTTCCTCCATAATAGCTTTCCGCATGATTTGATTCTCTCGCAGCACGCACGCATGGTTTCCAGTCGCGACAGAGTGTGCGTGTGTGTGTGTGTATATGTGTGTATGTGTGTATGTGTGTATGTGTGTATGTGTATGTGTGTATGTGTGTATGTATATGTGTGTATGTGTGTATGTATGCATGCATGCATGTATGTATGTATGCATGCATTCATGCATGTATGCATGTATGCATGTATGCGTAGGTGTATGTGTATGTGTATGTGTATGTGTATGTGTATGTCTATGAACATCTACATGTATACATGTTTATGTATAGGTATACGTTTGTGTACATACATACGTATACGTATATGTACGTGTGTATGTACATGTACATGAATATGTATATGTACATGTATATTTACATGTGTATGTATACGTACATGTATATTTATATGTATCAGTATTCGTACATGTATGTGTATTTGTGTATATATATAAAAGTATTTTTCGGAGGTTGCGGGTTGGAACGGAAGTGATCACAACTGGGAAATCGATTTCGTTTTTTTCGGTTCGTGTCGTGCGTGCGGGCGATGCGAAGCTGCGCGAGTTCCATCCATAGTAGAGGCCACCTATTGCCAAATGGGCCGCCCCCCGAGTGCCGGGCGTGGTCCCCCGTTGTCCTGGCGATTGTCCCGACGGTTGTCCCGATGATTGTGGTTGTCCCGATGGATGTCCCGATGGTTGTCCCGATGGTTGCCCCGATGGTTGTCGCGATGATTGTCCCGACGGTTGTCCCGATGGTTGTACCGACGGTTGTGCCGATGGTTGTACCGACTGTTGTCCCGATGGTTGTCCCGATGGTTTTCCCGATGGTTGTCCCGATGGTTGCCTCGATGGTTGTCCCGACGGTTGTCTCGATGGTTGTCCCGATGGTATTGTCCCGATGGTGTTGTCCCGATGGTTGTCCCGATGGTTGTCCCACTGGGTGTCCCGATGGTTGTCCCGATAGTTATCCCGACGGTTGTCCCGACGGTTGTCCCGACGGTTGTCTCGATGGTCGTGCCGGTGGGTGTCCCGATGGGTGTCCCGACGGTTGTCCCGATTGTTGTCCTGATGGTTGTCCCGATGGGTATCCTAATGGGTGTTCTGGAGGTTGTCCCAGATAGGTGGATGTACAGTGGCAGATAGATAATTAGATAGATAGGTAAGCAGATAAGCAGATAGAGAAATAGACATATATATGTATATCGACATATATATATATATCGTGTTATATATATATATATATATATGTAGATAGGTAGATTGCCCCGATGGTTCTCCCCCGATGGTTATCCCGATGGGTCTCCAGATGGTTGTCCCGATAGGTATCCCGCACACTCTTTGTTGGCGGTAGGCGAGACTCATCGAAAATCGACCGCCTCCCCCTTCCCCCCCCAACCTCCTTGTGGCCTCTACAACTTCGGAAACTCGCGCAGCTTCGCCTTGCGCGCACGCGCGACACGAACCGAAATCGAAACCGATTTCCCAGTTGGGGTCACTTCCGTTCACACCTCCAAATCTCCGATATTTTCAGAGATAGGCATATATATACACACAGCAAAATCATTAGATAGAGACACATATCTATACGTAAATGTATATGTGTATGTATGTATGTATGTATGTATGTATGTATGTGTATGTATATATGTTCATATGTATGTATGTATATATATATACATATATATACACGTATGTTGATTGATTGTCTGCTATATTGATAGGTTGATTTATTGATATATATATGATTGTATACATGTATATATTCATGTACACATATATAGAATCGTATATATACATATATATATAGATATGTTTGTCCCAAATCGACAAATCTATAGATAGGGCGATCGGTAGATGGGCAGATGTGGCGACAATAAACAAGTTGAAGAAACCACCGAAGAACGTAGAGCCATCGCTAATCGACCGCCTCCCCCTTCCCCCCAACCTCCTTATCACCCGTTAGGTGGTCCTATCGGTATACATATGTACGCATTATATGTATGTATGTATGTATGCATGTATGTATGTATGTATGTATGTATGTATGCATGCATGCATGCATGCATGTATGTATGTATGTATGTATGTGTGTATTTATATGTATATATATATACACATAAGCAAATGCGCCCCCCCCGCCCAGGAGCGTCCCCCACCTCCGTGACATCTGGGGGCAACTCCCGGTACCGCGCCCTCGGGCCTCCCAGGGAGGCCACAACGCCCCAGGACGGCCCAAGACGCCCCCAGGGAGCCCCCAGGACTTGAGAGGACGGCCAAAGACGTTCCCAAGCAGCCCTAAGACAGATTTCTGACGGCTCTCCAGGCTCCCAGGAGGCCTCCAAGAGGCCCCAAGAGAGCTCCGAGAGGCGTCTCGGGAGCGCCCGAAGAGGCCAACATCGTTGATTCTCATTTTTTTTTTTTTTTTGAGGTTTTCAGCCTTCTCGCGTTTTCGAGCCTCCAACGCTCCAAGACGGCCGAAAAGGCCCCCCAGACCGCCCCAAGACCACCCATAAGAGCCCCCAACACGGCTCCAAGACGGCCCAAGAAGGCCCCAAGACGGTCCAAGCGCGCCCCGAGGCAGCTCAAGAGAGCCCCAAGATGGCCGAAATGCAGCCCAACAGGGGGTACGCAAACCGACAATCCCGGCTTTCCGCTCCAAGAGGCCCCCAGGAGGCCCCAAGAGTTCCCCAAAGAGCCTGAAGAGGCCCCCCAATAGCCCCGAAGAGACCCCAAAGTGGCCTCAAGATGCCCCCCAACAGTCACCCAGCGGCCTCTAAACTGCCTCCCAAGAGCCCCCTGCACGCTCCTTAGGCCCACCCCGGTTCCTGCGCACTACATGTTCGAAGGCCCCACTTGAAGACAAAAAGAGAGGAAAACCAGTGATTCTCGTTTTGTTCAAGTTCATTCCGAGCCCCGTCAAGACTTCGGGTTCACATTGTTAAGGTTTTTCGGGAATGCGGTTGAACTCTCTGACGCTGTCTTGGCATTCTCTTGGGTCGTCTTCGTGTCCTCTGGTCTGCCCCTGAAGCCACCGTAAAAATCGAGCTCCCATGAGTTCACCTGTCCAGCGTAGCTAGCGTCAGCGCGCGAGCGCCAAGAGAGGGACAAAAGAGGGGACCTCCCAAAGCCTGACGAGCGCTTTGCCCCGAGGTGGCCCCAAGGTTCTCCCAGAGGTTCTCGAGGCGCCCCCCAGATGCCTGCGGAGACTCCTGGGAGGCTCCCAGGAGGCACCAAGAACTCCCCGAGAGACCCCGAAAGAACTCCAAGACGCCGCCAAAAAGGCCCCGAGGGCAATCCCAACAGACCATGGTCTGTATCCGGGAAACTTCTGACCCACGGCCCAGGCATGGCAGTTTGAAAAAAGGGAAGTCAAATAATTCCTTTTGTTCGAACGTACCCCTTTTTTTTGCACAACAGACCATAATTGAGGCCCCTGTCACCATCGAATAAAGATTTCAAGAAGTCTGCGAGGGCCCCAAATCATCGAACATCTAACAGCAATTTCTGATTTTGTAGTTTCCGCATTTCATCTTCGATACGTTTCGGACACTTGCGCAGGGACTCCGAAAGGTCGTTCGGTGCACAAGGCACTTCAACTAGTGAGATTCCATGCGTCAGCCTGCCGCGCCTAGCTAGAACTCGAGCGCGCGCGAAGCGCCCGAGATGATGTATGTGTATTTACTACACAAACACACACTTACATACATATATATATGTCTATAGATGCATACGTATGTACACATATACATATACACACATATACATATAGATGCACGTTGGTATCTATGTTTGTGCATGCATATCCATGTGTATGCATTTATGAATGTATGCATGCATGTATGCATGCATGCATGCATGCAGATCTTTACGTATGCACGAGCGTAGACGTGTATATATGTATACATGCATGCATGCATGCGTTGCGTGCATGCATGTATGGATGCAAATGTCAGGTATGTGTGTATGTATGTGTGTATGTATGTGTGTGTGGTGTATGTATGTATGCATGAACGTATGTGTGTATGTATGTATTTATGTTTGTTTGGCTGTATGCATGCATGTATTCATGCATGCATGCATGCATGTATGCATTATTGTATGTATGCATGTATGCAGGCATATATGTCTGCATACATGTGTGTATGTATGCATGTCTGCATGCATGCATGTAAGTAAGGCATGTATGTGATGTATGCATATATGTATGTACGTACGTGGAAATGTATGTATACATGTATGTATGTGTGTATGTATGCATTCATGCATGCATGCAGGCATGTATTTATGTATTCATGTAAACATGCATGCATGTATGTATGTATGTATGTAGGTATGCATGCATGTATGCATGTATGCATGTATGGTTGTATATCTGTATGTATGTATCTATGTATGTATGCATGTATGTATGTATATATATTTATGACTGTATGTATTTTGTGTGTATGTATGTATGTATTTGTGTATATATGTATGTATGTATGTACGTACGCATGTATGTATGTATGTATGCATGTATGTATGTATGTCTGTATGTATGTGGGTATGTGTGTAGGTGTGTATGTGTGTATGTGTGTATGTATGCATATATGTATGTATGTCTGAATGTATGTATGTATGTAGGTAGGTGGGTAGGTAGGTAGGTATGTATGTATGTAGGTATGTGTGTGTGCGTGTGTGTATATATGTGTATGTATGTATGTATGTATGTATGTATGTATGTATGCATGCATGCATGCATGCATGCATGCATGCATGCATGTATGTATGTATGTATGCATGTATGCATGTATGTATGTATGTATGTAATGTAATGTAATGTAATGTAATGTAATGTAATGTAATGTAATGTAATGTAATGTAATGTAATGTAATGTAATGTAATGTAATGTATATATATATGTATGTATGTATGTATATATGTATATATGTATGTATGTATGTATGTATGTATGTATGTATGTATGCATGCATGCATGCATGCATGTATATATGTATGTATGTATGTATGTATGTATGTAATGCATGCATGCATGCATGCATGCATGCATGCATGCATGCATGTATGTATGTATGTATGTATGTATGTATGTATGTATGTATGTATGTATGTATGTATTCATGTATGTATGTATGTATGTATGTATGTATGTATGTATGTATGTATGTATGTAGGAAGTAGGCCCGGGGGGGGGGCCCGGCCGCTGCCTGTACCCCCCATTTGCGCCGCCCGGGGGTTCTGGGGCGGTCCCAGTGCTCCCGAGACGGCATGGGCCCGCGCCGAAACAGGCCACGGCAGGCTAATGGGGGTCCCAAGAGGGCCCAAGACGGTCCCAAGATGCCCCGAAGGTGGCCAAGATGCCTTCAAGACGGCCGATGAGGACTCCAACGCGCTCCGGGCCCTGGGAGGCAACATTCATTGATTTTCCAAAGAAATTTTGAAGGATTTTGGCGTTCTCGCTTTTCCCGCTTCCCAGCGCTCCCTCACGGCCTCGGAGGCCCTTCAGATCGCTCGAAGACGGCCCACGAGGCCTTGAAGAGGGCCCCAAGACGGCCCAGGAGCCAGACAACCCAAGTGTGCCCCAAGAGCGCCCGAAGGAGGGGCCCAGAGGGGGACCGCGAACCGATATTTCGAGGTCTCTGGCCCTAGAGGCCCGCAGTAGGCCCCGGAGGCCACCGAGAAGCTCCCACGAAGCCCCGTGAGACCCCCAAGAGGCCCCCAGGAAGTCCCAAGAGGCCCCCAAGGGGCCCCCAGGGAACGGTCAAGAGGCCCCCCAACACAACCCAACAAATCATGTCCCCAGAAAGCCTTCTGGGAACATGGCTCATCTTGGGCCCGAGAGTCTCCGGAGGCCCCGAAGTACCATCGCGCTACCGGAGAGCTGTTTGGGAAGTAGATTGGGAACATGACTGATCGCCTTCTCGCGGCCCTCCACGGATCGTTTCGCACAAAGTTGCCCAAAGTGCTTTCTTGAACCGACGACGACGAAGACGACGAAGACGATGAAGACGAGGACGACGACGGCGCGCCCCAAGAGGCGACGACGATATTACGACGACGACGGCACGCCCCAACAGGCTCCCCAAGACGCCCCCCAAACCCATGTTCCCAGAAGGCCTTCTGGGAACCCGATTCATCAGGCCTCCGCTCCCCTACGCAACCATCTTCCCCGAAAACCTTCGGAAGGCGGAGTGACATGCATGCATTTCTCACTGCCCGAAATGCGTTCAGCGTTATGGGCACTTCTTCATTTCCCGTTCAAACCATCTTTGGTCCACTACTTCAGTGGAGCAGTTAACTCGTCAAGGCCTGAAGCCTGCTAGAACCTGAGCGCGCGCGCGAAGCGCGCGCGATGGTTCTAGTGTGAATATCTATACATATGTATGCCTGTCTGTGTGTATGTATGTATGCATGCATGCATGCATGTATGTATGTATGCATGTATGTATGTGTGTGTATGTATGTATGCATGCATGCATGCATGCATGCATGCATGCATGTATGTATGTATGTATGTATGTATGTATGCATGCATGCATGTATGTATGTATGTGTGTATGCATGTATGTATATATACATGTATGCATGTATATATACATGTATTTATGTATATGAGTATGTACATGCACACACATCTATATATAACT